ACATGAAAACGATCAATATGACTGAAAAAATTTAGAAAATACAATCAAAACTTGAAAAATATGAAAAAACTAGAAATCTATATTAAATAGAAAAAGTCGATTAGTAAGTCCCGCTCACTTCATGCAGCGTCCGCGAGCTTTTTGCAGCAGCACGCGTGAACCCCGCTTTAGAACGTAGTGGGTTGTGCTATCGACACGAGATCTCGATAAGGAGTTCACTCAACTCGTCTCGAGTTACCGACACAGCTTTTGAATGTGTCACGCCTCGTCTCGAAAAAAAAATCACTCGTCTCGGTTTCAAAAAGTCTGGCACAGCCTTGTTACTAACTGAACTGAAGGCATTTTGATTCTTCATTCCGATTCCTCCTAGACGAGCTAACAAGGATTTTTGTAAAGATTATACAGGCTGTACATCTTTTTAAAAAAAAAGCCATCTCTGCGCTCTTTTATCCTTAGCAACGTTTTCGTGCTCACTGAGCGTTTCTAAAAAAAAAAACGTCGTGATGCAACAATTAATGGAGAGAAAGTTAATGAAGGAATTAAACTTGACCGACGATGGTTTTTAACAATATAACTATAATTTCTAGAATTCTGGCGTGTCCGTTTGTAAACTCAAAAAAGTGCCACATATACAGTTCTAATATCAAGTGAACCGTTTTCACCGGTTCGAGACATACCTCAGTGAAGAATCTGGAATTTTGAGCTATTTCTTTCTCAAAAATTGAGAACTCGGCGTTCTATTGAAAATTACGTTAAAATTACCTATAGTATTCGGCCCATTGAGCAGAATAGTCTGGCTGACCAGTCTGAGGGTTGATAGTCGGCTGCGCTTGATTAGCAGCTGGCGCGCTGTTCTGTGCTGAAGTCTCAGCTGCCACCGCGAAGTTCTGTGAAGTGCTTCCGGTTGCACCTTGCGGTTGCATGAGGCGGCAGGAATGAGTACCCCATGTTATTCGGGGCTTGCGGCCATTGTTCGCTCTAGGTCCCGCTAGAAGATACGTTAATTACTATAGCTTGTAATAAAAGTTAATTATATTTCAAATTTATCAATGAATATTTTTTCTCACCACTGAATTCATTCTCTGCACATAAACATTTTCTATTCGGAAACGCTCAAAATTATATAAAAACCTATTTTCTTTTTAATCGAGCTTTCACTGAAAAGCCGTAATGAACAATAAACAGCATAATTTTTTTCTGAAACACTTTCGGCTTTTCAAAGCCTAGCAAGATAAATAGAACAGCTATAAACCAAAATTTCTTTTATTTCACAGTTTTCTCATTTCACTAAAATTTTTTTCAAAAACTTTCATAGTTTGAATATTCTTTCGTATCTTTTCATCTATTTCATTTCAAAACAGTTCTATAGCATCGAAAGCCTGTTTTTTACGAATGCACGTCTTTTTTGCCGCTAATTTCACAAAACCTACTCCATTGGCTGTTTGCAGGAACAGGTTGCATTTGATAGGGATGCTGAACTTCGTGCGAAAAGTTTGAAACCACATGTGCGGGTCGATTACTCAGAGGAGGAATAGGCGTGTTTGCAGGAACATCTCCAACCTATTGAACGAATTGAAAACAGCTTTTTCCCCTGTTGGAACCTTCAATCTAATAAGATGCTGGGCGAGGTGGATTTGATTCGGAGTTCCCTTGATGATGAAAACTTTTTCTTCGCCATTAGCATGTGTTTCTTTAGAAAGCTCACAGTGCGCCCCACTTTCACAGTTAATCTGAACATCTTAACTATTTGAAATGAAAACATCTGAATGAGTATAAAAATAAAGATAACAACTCGGTAAAAAAAAAAACGACAAGAGCGAGCTTTCCTTTCCGAAGAGCACACAATATGTGAATGTGCGCATTTGGTGCATTTTCGTGTTTGCAAACTTTGAGTGGTCTCATCTCTGCGTTTTTCCATATTTCTTCAAAAAGTTTTCAGTTTTCGTTTGATG